CGGCAGCGGGGCGGGGCGGGGAGAGAGGGTGAAGCGTTGGGAGCGGAGGGACTGCTAGTGTCCCCGACAGGCGGGCCATGGGGGGGACAAGGGCGTGCGTCGAGGCCGTCCGCGCGCGTCCGTTTCACCCCAAACCGAGCGCAAGTTTGGGCCGGGGATGGGTCGAAAGCGGACGGAATCCGGACATTTGTCCGTTTGCGCCCGCGCGCTGGGCCGTCTCGTTTGTCCCTTTTACCCCAAACGGACGGGGGCGGACAGGATAGGGTCGCGCGGTGGAGTTGGCCTAACTCCCTCTCCATGCTCCCATCCATGCTCCCACCTCATCCTACGGCTGTCTTTTTTCCTTTTTCCTTTCTAATCTAATTATCTCCCCCCCTGATTTTAAGTGGGTGGGGCCGGACCTTATTTTGGTCCAATCAAATCAAGCCATGTATGCGGGAGCATGGATGGGCGCACAAGCGGGGAGCAGGCAAGTCTTGTCCCATTAAACAGAGAAAACTCGTAACACGTCAACAAAAATATACTCCCTCCGTCCCGAAAAACATGTCACGGGCCTAGTTCACTGGTAATTTGAGAAAAAAAAACTCATGATTTCAAAAGCGTTTCAAACAAGTCTCTCCGCCCCGTCTTCTGCCTTCGCCCGTGGCCAGGGGTCGCCCTCTCCCGTCGGCCCGACCAGCGGCTTTTAATTTGGTGCGTGCCGACCACCTTGGCTTGGCTTGGCTTGGTTTGATCGTTGTCCCTTTTCGGCCTCGGATGGGCCGCTGGTCGACCTCGACACGTTTACCTGATGACTAAGCTGCCACATGATTTGTTTGTTAAGGGCACACGGATAGTATTATTACTATTATAATTTAGCTAAGGACTAAGCAGAAGTGATCAGGTTATTGATACATATCTCCCTGCTTAATTGCTTGCTTAAATTATGCAACACCCTATCTTCATCATAATCATACTAATCAAGACACGACGACGGCCGACAGGTGGTCGCCCTACGTCCTGTACGTGAGTCGTGCCTTCTCCAAGGCCCAGAGAGATATGTTGTACTACTACAACTACAAGCAGGCGGGTTTTCTGTCAGAATCTTTATCTTCTTCGTTGAGTCCTTCGTTCACACGCCCCCGGTTCCGTTCCGTTTAAATACATACATGATCGTCATCGTGTGCCTGCATAACAGCACCCAGCAGCTAGTACGTAACAAAATTTCGATTTGGGTTTGGGTTGCTGCCAGGAGGAAGAAGACGAGTCCCCATCGCAGATCAACAACCGCCGCGAATCTCCCGGCGGGCCCGCTCCGGACCGGCGCCCACCAGCCGCCGGCGAGCTGACCGAGCGAACCAAAAGCGAAACCGCCTCTACTCCGTGTTCGTTTATAAACCGGCACCATCGGACGAGGGACGACACCAGCCAGTCACGCACGGAGCGGACAAGAGAGGAAACCAACACAGCACATTGGCGCCCTCCACGCATCGTCGCTAAGACGGATCCATCATCCATGGACGCCCTCACGCTCACCTCCCTCCTCAAGGCCGCCGCCGCCGCCTTCCCCGACCGCCGCGCCATCGCCGTCCACGCCAAGATCGACCTCACGCACGCCGCGCTCGACGCCCTCGTCGACGCCGCCGCCGCGCGCCTCGCCGCCGGCCCCGACGGCCTCCGCCCCGGCCAGACCGTCGCGCTCTGCTTCCCCAACACCGTCGAGGTAACCAATTTCTTGATCAATAACCGTCTATATATATAAATAAATCCATCCATCAATGGATCGTTCGTCCTCGCGCGGCTCTGTTTCTCAATTCGTCTCTCTTGATTTCGCGCGCGCAGCTGGTGGTGGTGTTCCTGGCGGTGATCCGCGCGCGGGGCGTGGCGGCGCCGCTCAACCCGGCCTACACGCAGGACGAGTTCGAGTTCTACCTCTCCGACTCGGGCGCGCGCCTGCTCGTCACCGGCGCCGACGGCAACGCGCCCGCGCAGGCCGCCGCCGCCAAGCTCGGCCTCCCCCACGCCGTCGCCGCCACGCTCACCGACGCCGCCGGCCCGCTCGGACTCACCGGCCTCGTCGAAGGCAACCCCGCGCCGCAGAACAACGGCACCCTCCAACATAAAGAGGAGAACGAGCCGTCGGACGTGGCCCTGTTCCTGCACACCTCCGGCACGACGAGCCGGCCCAAGGGGGTGCCGCTCACGCAGCGCAACCTGGCGGCCTCCGTGCAGAACATCCGCGCCGTGTACCGGTTCGCCGAGACGGACGCGACGGTGGTGACGCTGCCGCTCTTCCACGTGCACGGCCTCATGTGCGCGCTGCTGTCCTCGCTCGCCTCCGGCGCGTCGGTGGCGCTCCCCGCCGCCGGCCGCTTCTCGGCGTCCACGTTCTGGGCCGACATGCTCGCGGCGGGCGCCACGTGGTACACGGCGGTGCCGACCATCCACCAGATCATCCTGGACCGGCACGCGTCGCGGCCGGAGCCGCGGTACCCGGCGCTCCGGTTCGTGCGGAGCTGCAGCGCGTCGCTGGCGCCGGTGATCCTGGAGCGGCTGGAGGCGGCGTTCGGGGCGCCGGTGCTGGAGGCGTACGCCATGACGGAGGCCTCCCACATGATGACCTCCAACCCGCTGCCGCAGGACGGGGCGCGCAAGCCGGGGTCCGTGGGGCGGGCGGCGGGGTCGCTGGAGGTGGCGGTGCTGGACGAGGCCGGCAACCATGTCCCCGCCGGGGAGCGCGGGGAGGTGTGCATCCGCGGGCCGAACGTGACGGCCGGGTACAAGACCGCCGACCCCGGCGCGAACGAGGCGGCGTTCCTGCACGGGTGGTTCCACACGGGCGACATCGGCGTGATGGACGGCGAGGGGTACGTGAGCCTGGTGGGGCGGATCAAGGAGCTCATCAACCGGGGCGGCGAGAAGATCTCGCCCATCGAGGTGGACTCGGTGCTGCTGGGCCACCCGGACGTGGCGCAGGCGGTGTCGTTCGGCGTCCCCGACGAGAAGTACGGCGAGGAGATCCACTGCGCGGTGATCCCCAGGGAGAGCGTGGCGCTGGGCGAGGAGGAGGTGGTGGCCTTCTGCCGGAAGAACCTGGCGGCGTTCAAGGTGCCCAAGAAGGTGTACATCGCCGCCGACCTGCCCAAGACGGCCACCGGCAAGATCCAGCGCCGCATCGTCGCGCAGCACTTCTTCGTCGTGCCCGCCGCCGCCGCCAAGGCCTAGAAGAGCTCGTCGGTCCGTCGATCGATCACGTCGCCGTCTTTTGTCCCTTTTTTTTACGTGCCAGACAGAACAGGGGATTGATAATGAAATTGCGCGCCACATGACATTGGAGAGCGGTAAAAGTTGTGGTTGATTTGATTGATGAAGATTACTACTACACTTTTCACCGCCGTGCATGCCGACGAGTAAACCTTGGTCGTGTCACCCACGTCATTCTTTTCTCTGAACGAACCTGGCACGAAACAGCACCCGTGAATAGGAGCCCGTGGCCGTGAGCCGTGAGCGCGCGCCGGCCATGATCACGGGGCGCTTTTACTACTGGTCAAAGTATGTACAGAGAAAATGGAAGGATTGGTTCATGGTTGTTTGGTTTCGCGTCGTGTCGCGTGGTCGAAGCACATGGTGTGGCATATTCTGTAGCTTACATTCGTCGTGGCTCGCGTGGAATAACATCTTTTTTTGGGTTGAGGAAAGTGATGGTCGGGCCGCATAATTGTCGCGTCGTCGAGTTGATCTCGCGTCTCGTCGACGGAACGGACAACACTCAATCGACTTGTGGCTGTTGGCGAGTGGCCGGCGACGGCGACATTCCCTTGGACTAAACCAATTATATACAGTATTTTATGTTGTATTTTTCAACACTTGGCTGCGATATTCGGTTCCGTCGAGGATCAGATTTAGATTAAGAAAAAAAGGTAGGCCTGGGCGGGAGAGTATTAGGTGATACGAAGCCGTAGATGCTCCCATGATACGTAATATTTTGCGAAAAAGATCTTTTAAAGTCAAAATTGCAAACAAGTACGGCAATCTTTTAGAACCTTCTAGAAGCCATTGGATCTGAGATCCGACGGACCAGAAGCTCGTATCATGGGACCATCTAAGGCATGGTATCACCTGATGGGCATCCGGCGGGTGCTGTCAGTCAGAACACGGGAATTAGCACGACGGGTGCTCTGGGACACGTGGCTAAGGGACGAGCACGACGTGCGGCGCGTCTCTTTCTTCGCCGACACGTCGTCGAGGCCGCGGCGGCCACGTCAAGAGCATGCAGCGCCTGCTCCTCGGGTGCGCGGCCTCACGCCCACGCCGTCGCCACCACCACCTTCTCGCATGACAGCGAAGGAGGAGGCCCGACTCATGTAACGTGTCATGGAGGACTCCATGAAAACACACGATGAGCGCCAATGGCCGGGCCTTGAGGAGACGATGGCCCTCTCTGCGGCCGGCGATGTCGCCATCCCCGAACTGGAGATGGTGAGGGCGAAGGAGGTGATGGAGGAGGAGCTGGTGGTCGCGTTTCACCCAGGCCTGGTGGGCCAGTAGTGGAGCTGGTCGTGCACGGCTCCGGAGATGGCCGACGCCATGAATTACAATGTCTAGTCAATCCTTGATTTTTAAAGGTGCTCTCCATTTATGTTTTGCGGTCTTAGAAAGGGCTAGCGAGATGCCATCTTGTTATATCAGATTATGATTATTTTGAGAAAGTGTTGTCATCCGAGATTTATTATTATTGCTCGCTAGTTGATTATGCCATTGATATGAGTAAACATGAGACCTAAATGTTACTGTGACTATGATTAGTTCATAATCTTTGCTGAAAACTTGAATGCTGGCTTTACATATTTACAACAACAAGAGCAAACATAGTTTGTAAAAGTTTTTTCTTTATCACTTTCAGTTTATCAACTGAATTGCTTGAGGACAAACAAAGGTTTAAGCTTGGGGGAGTTGATACGTCTCCGTCGTATCTACTTTTCCAAACACTCTTGCCTTTATTTTGGACTCTAACTTGCATGATTTGAATGGAACTAATCCGGACTGACGCTGTTTTCAGCAGAATTGCCATGGTGTTATTTTTGTGCAGAAATAAAAGTTCTCGGAATGACCTAAAAATCAATGGAGAATTATTTTGGAATATATAAAAAATACTGGAAAAAAGATCCACGTCAGGGGGCCACCACCTGTTCACGAGGGTGGGGGCGCGCCCTACCCCCCTAGGCGCGCCCCCTGCCTCGTGGCCTCCCTGACGCTCCACCGACCTCAACCCTGACTCCATATATTCAGTTTCGGGAAGAAAAAAAATCAGAGAGAAGGATTCATCGCGTTTTACGATACGGAGCCGCCGCCCAAACCCTAAACTCTCTCGGAAGGGCTGATCTGGAGTCCGTTCGGGGCTCCGGAGAGGGGAATCCGTCGTCATCGTCATCATCAACCTTGCTCCATCACCAATTTCATGATGCTCACCGCCGTGTGTGAGTAATTCCATCATAGGCTTGCTGGACGGTGATGGGTTGGATGGGATTTATCATGTAATCGAGTTAGTTTTGTTAGGGTTTGATCCCTAGTATCCACTATGTTCTAAGATTGATGTTGCTATGACTGTGCTATGCTTAATGCTTGTCACTAGGGCCCGAGTGCCATGATTTTAGATCTGAACCTATTATGTTTTCGTCAATATATGAGAGTTCTTGATCCTATCTTGCAAGTCAATAGTCACATACTATGTGTTATGATCCGGCAACTCCGAAGTGACAATAACCGGGACCACTCCCGGGGATGACCGTAGTTTGAGGAGTTCATGTATTCACTATGTGTTAATGCTTTGGTCCGGTACTCTATTAAAAAGAGGCCTTAATATCCCTTAGTTTCCAATAGGACCCCGCTGCCACGGGAGGGTAGGACAAAATATAGCATGCAAGTTCTTTTCCATAAGCATGTATGACTATATTCGGAATACGTGCCTACATTGCATTGATGAATTGAAGCTACTTCTGTGTCACCCTATGTTATGACTGTTACATGATGAACCGCATTCGGCATAATTCTCCATCAGCGATCCAATGCCTATGAGCTTTCCATATATTGTTCTTCACTTATTTACTTTTCCGTTGCTATTGTTACAATCACTATAAAACAGCAAAAATATTACTTTTGCTAGCGTTACTTTTGCTATCGTTACCACTACTATCATATTACTTTAATACTAAATACCTTGCTGCAGATATTAAGTTTCCAGGTGTGGTTGAATTGACAACTCAGCTGCTAATACTTAAGAATATTCTTTGGCTCCCCTTGTGTCGAATCAATAAATTTGGGTTGAATACTCTACCCTCGAAAACTTTAGCGATCCCTTATACTTGTGGGTTATCACATGGCATCTTCTTATTTTCTCGAATACAGTGGCTACGACTCAATGACGAGAGCCATCTTTCCAAGTTAGTACAAAAGCATCTACAATCGGGTGCCTTAAACCCGTCTCATATGTCCGGACGACCCGCTCGTGTTGGGGAACGTAGTAATTTCAAAAAAATTCCTACGCACACGCAAGATCATGGTGATGCATAGCAAAGAGAGGGGAGAGTGTGATCTACGTACCCTTGTAGACCGATGTTAGCACAACGCGGTTGATGTAGTCGTATGTCTTCACGGCCCGACCGATCAAGCACCGAAACTACGGCACCTCCGAGTTCTAGCACACGTTCAGCTCGATGACGATCCCCGGACTCCGATCCAACAAAGTGTCAGGGAAGAGTTCCGTCAGCACGACGGCGTGGTGACGATCTTGATGTACTACCGTCGCAGGGCTTCGCCTAAGCACCGCTACAATATTATCGAGGATTATGGTGGAAGGGGGCACCGCACACGGCTAAGAATATGATCACATGGATCAACTTGTGTGTCTAGGGGTGCCCCCTGCCCCCGTATATAAAGGAGCAGGGGAAGGTGCGGCCGGCCAGGAGGAGGGCGCGCCAGGTGATGGGGTTATGTACCTAGGGTAGGGTCATGGACCTGATCTAAGTACCTTACCCAAGGACACCCTTAGAAGAAGTCGCCTTCCAGTCGACCAACGAGGGACACACTCGACTGACTTGAAGGACTCGACCACGAAGACTCACTCGACCACCGGAAGGTCAAGAAGCACTCTGCACTGCAACGGCCTGTAATCAAGTAGACTTTATGATAGTAAAGGCACTTTATGTGGGGCGTTACCAGTAACGCCCCAGACTTAACTCACCTTAAACCCTCTCCTACGTGGGCTGGCTGGGGTCCTGGCGCACTCTATATAAGCCACCCTCCTCCACAGGCAGAAGGGTTCGGCATCTTGTAACTCATATACTCATAATCCACTCGACCGCCTCCGGGCTCCGAGACGTAGGGCTGTTACTTCCTCCGAGAAGGGCCTGAACTCGTACATCCCTTGTGTTTACAACCTCTCCATACTTAGGACCTTGCCTCTCCATACCTACCCCCCACTCTACTGTCAGGCTTAGAACCACGACAGTTGGCGCCCACCGTGGGGCAGGTGTTTTAGCGATTTTGTGGAGAAGTTGCGATTCTTCCGAGTACTTTCATCATGGTGTCCGCTGGAGTTTTGGTCGGGGGTCAAGAGATCCGTCTCGGCACTCTCACCTTCATCGCCGACGATTCCGCATGGCTCCAGGAGGCTCCACTCGACGTTGATGCGCTCCCCGTCCGCGGTGCGACGCATTTTCGCGCATGTGTCCGCGGCGTTCTGCTGCGGCAGCCGTCGACCCAGTATCAGTCGACTCCTCCATCGTCCACCCTCCCGGTATCCCGCCAGCGCAAGCGCTCGGGCTGGTCGAGGCTTCAGCGATGGGTGAGGCACGTGGTGGCTCGCCAATCGGCCACCACACAAGTTGCGGCAATCGAGCCCGACGAAACTCTCTACGGCTTGTTCGATCTGTCGAATGGCTCCGTAGAGACTGCATCCGAGTGCGGTAGCAGTGATCCAGCGGCTGAAATCTTGATGGTCGACGGGCCCCGCAGTCCCCCTGGCTTCGCCCGGGATGATGGAGCAGGTGACGGAGGCGACCCCGCACGACGCCACGAAGAGTACCAGCCCGAGCCGCTCGACTCTCTGCAAAGAGAGGAACTTCGCCGCAGGAACGTGGATGCCCTGCGTACTCCCATCGCAGGAGAAACCCCCGAGGCTCGTGCCTTGGAGGAGGCGCGTCTGGCCAATTTGGCCGAGCGCACTC